TGTGTGTGTGTGTGTGTGTGTGTGTGTGTGTGTGTGTGTGTGTGTGAGAGAGAGTGAGTGAGAGAGACCATTGGACAAATACGGTGCATGTGTCCTTGTTTCTCAGTAATTCACTGTGTGTGTGAATGTTTTTTCCATTTTGGATGAAAAGATTTATAATTGTGTACATAGTCCAGATAGAGGTACTGTAAAATATTACTGCAGAGTTTTCACCAAGTGCCTAGGAATTGATGTTATGCAACAAAATGTGAGCATGAGAGCATTACTTGTTGACCAGGCAATAAACTAACCAGTTTGTCGGCCCCTGGTGGCGTTTTTTGTGACGACTGTCGATGTGAGCTGGAGTCATACAACACAAGTAATTTACTTTTTTTTTTAAATTTTTTATTAAAACAAAAATATATACAACCTTGCAACGTATTGCTGTCATAAACAAATTGTCTACCTGCTTCAGCAACACTGTCTCCTTCCTTGCATTCATTTTAACACTGTTTACTGACCGAGCATTAAGAAAAAAACAAAAACATCGAAATAAATGAAGATTTAAAAAGTCATCTGCGTCGGTGTTACTTTGGCTCTGCATGGCCAGCAGTGCAGGCCGGGGATCTGGACACCGGAGGAGAGAAGAAGCGTCGCACGATGAGTTCTGTAAACAATAGTCAGGGTAAACGCGGCAGGTGTGGACACGCGCCGAGGGGCCAAATCTAGGGCCTGGCGGGGAAGCACAGCTTGGTGGCGTCCTTGGCGTTACTCTGGCTGTCGATCAGCATCAGAGGAGTCCGCTGGTGGTTCTCGATGATGTGGGAGACGCTGCTGAAATGCTGCGAACAGAGAGAAGGGAAGTCTGAACGTCCTTGAAATCCAGAAATTAGGTCAATGAGCCATTTTATGTTTGCTCTAAACATTTTAAAGGAAGAGGGGATCTTGTGACGCAGTCCAGACATGGTCCAGGTGGTTATTTCTGAATAATGTGAGTGTAATCATTTTCAGTCAAATCAACATTTAGACCACTGTTGAGCAAGTGCTCGATTTAGCGCCCCTTAAAAATTCCACAGCACGTGCACACCACTTTCTTTGCAAACAATCCCACAATGCAATGTGTCACATTTACAGTTTTTGGGGAGTTTTGGTGCCCTTTGGTCTAGCTGTTATTTCAGATGCCTGCATATAATTACACTCTTGAGGCTTTTTAACTAACAATCCTAATCCGAACAAAACCTCCAGTACCAGCATTGGACTGAAAACCCTGCAGCTATCACTAAAGAGCAGCTAGATCAACACGCGCGCCCACAGAGACAGAAACACGGCTCTTTTTCCACCGTTGACATACACCCAAAGACCTCCCTCCTACCTCCTCCCCTTTCTTCTCTCGCCCCAGAGCGTACTGCTGCGTCGTCGCTATGAAGCGGATGGGGATGTTGTACACTCGGCCGTTGTAAAACACCACCAGCGTGTAGGGCTGCTGTGCGTCCTGACCGGAGCTCTTCCTCACCATGAACGCCCCGCCCTGAAAACAGAAAGAAGCACTCACAGTGAGAAACCCGGCAGGGGTGAGTGGGTGTGGTGGGTTAATGGGATCCAAACCACAGATCACTCATTTGGATAATGATACGATTTCCCACCTTGTTTGAGCGACACAAGACGTCGTCAGCAGTCTTGCGGCTGCACGCGCCGGCATACCAGGGTTTCTTATAGATGTCTGCGTCCTGGAAATCAAAGTATACGGAGAATAGGATTTTGCGTGAATGTAGCTTGTTGAGTTGTTTGTTCATCTTTACGATAAACCGTTGCAAGAGCACACCTTGTCTTGGTCTGTCAACCCATTCTCAGCAGGGACACTTCGTCTGTCGGCCAGCTCTGGGGACAACGAGAGACACTTTATGATTAAGGTGTTTTTCTTTTCTACAATGTAGACATTTTTGTTTTTGTTAAGAGTGTAAAACAACTCCTCCCGTGCACGTGGCTGATAACCTGCCGAGAGACTCGAGCAGGAGCCGTACTCACTGTGGGGGGTCAACTGTGGAACAGGAATCCTGCAAGAGAGACCACAAACAGAGGCCATTAAAGGCTGTTGTTGGGGGCCCCCCGGCATCGCGTCAAACTGTACGCGTCTTACTTTGGCCGTTTCATTTCCAGCGTAAAAGACTTTGGCGGGGGCTTCTGGTTGGTTGGCATCGCAGGCAGCGTTCGGCCTGTGGAGATCCAGACGGATGGTGATCAGGCTGCGTTTCGCCGTTCAGTAATGAGTGGAAATCGAAGACGAATCCCACAAATGAAATGTGTAAATGTTTTTCTTTTCAGTTGTATGCGGCTTTATCTGCATACCCTTCTAACTGGAAGAGTTTAAATGTGGGAACTACTTGTACTTTAAGTCACCATGTGTATGTGCAGCGTATGTTTGTATGGAATTAGATCATTATCGCACACTAAAAGTTGCTGAAGGAAATCCAGAGAGCAACAGTGGTGACAATGCAGGTTTAATAGTGTTTTAAGGGAGAAAAAAAACCTTCATCATAGAAGTGATTGGAACTAGTTTGACAATGTTTAATAAAAGCTCTGGTGTGACTAATAATGAGTGCACAATACATAATATCTGGATGAATGAACACTTACTTTCAAATTCCCTAGGTTTAAATTCTGCCCTCTGCAAAAGAAAAGAAAAACATTTAATGATTTTTAGCATCATAAACATAAACACATATTGTCATGTTTGTCATCAGCTGATCCTTTAAAAACAAGTATTCAGAGCGCTTCCTACCGGTGGTTTTGGTGACCTTCTGGTAGAAAAAAAAAGAGATGATTGGACATTCAGTTATTCCCTTCTTTAAGCTTTAAATAGATATATAATTAGAAAACATATTTGGTTAAGTGATGCTTACTCTCTGGGCAAAGGTTTTGGTAGAGAAGGGCCGCCTGCAGGTTTATCACTGGAACCTAGAGGAGCACACGGTGACAAGCGATCTATCAGTTATTGTGACCAGCTTTGGCAAGTCTTATAATCATACTATTGCCCATTTACTGTAGGGAAGTATATTTGATCTAGATGGCGTATCATGCTAGAAAGAATTATGCTGGCTGCTTTTGATTTCATATTCACAGTCACCTGGATCGCAGACTTCGTATTCGTCGTCGTCGTCTGCTGCTGCTGCTGGCTCCTGGACCTGGAAAAAAATTCACAACACCAGTAAGTCCGCGTGGTCCTAACTGCGCGGCACGCAGCAAATTCTCTGCAAAACACGGCACTTACGGCAACGGGAGATCTCCTCGTATCCCCTCTGAAGAAGAAACACGACTCATTATTAGTGTGGTTAAGTAGGAAAGCAATGCTATGACTTCATGGCAGACAGAGGGCGGCCTCGGGACTAAACGCTCAGTCCTACCTGGGGCTGGGCCTCGGTGGTAAAGAATGCGACTGTGTTGTGGGGATCGGACGCGGTCTGCAAAGGAAATGGTTGGTCTCAGACTGCAGTCAAAAAGGATTTTCCCCAAAAAATACTGTCATTTTGTATTGTACGTCTATGCAATTACCAGTCTCCCACTGACCTGCTTGCTGGAAGAGATAATGAGTTTCCCTGTAAGAGACGCGATAAAACGAAAAACCACAATGAATTCCACATGTAAATGCACTTTGAATACTTGGAATGGCTGTAACTTAAAAGCCTACCTCTTTGTCAGGAACTTCATAAAAGTCTGAAAAGCAACCAAAGCCAGAATTAGACACTGCAGAGGCACAAAGGCCTAGTTTTCTTTTTTGTGCCGGATGTCATTGTTTTCATTGCTTCAAACATGTCTTCAGCATGCAGCACAATCTGCCCCTGGGCGTTTCTTTTGTATGTGTGTGTTTGTACTAACTGCTTTTGACTGTCTCTCATTGTAGTGTATTTACAAAGACTTTTCATGCACAGGCCTGTAATCTGTTCGTTCATTATTGTAGACGTTATGGAGGCCTCCTTTTTTTTTTTCTCCTTCTGCGTTCAGCCACGCTGGCAACACGGCAGCGTTGGTCGGACCACCACTTAACAATTATTAGATGGGCATGAATGGTGTACAGACATTCATTGTCCCAAGAGGATGAATCCTAAACAAATGTTCACTCATCCAGTGAAGTATGTATTTTAATGGATTGGCGCAAAATTTTGTACAGACATTCACTCTTCCTTTATGATGCTGACACGTGTGGTTTGGAGTGAAATGTCACATATCTGGTACACGTCTACATGCCTTCTCAGAATGAATCGTAATGACTTTGATAATTCGTTAATGTCTTATCTAGCGCCATCATCAGGTCAGAATTTAAATTTGTCCAATACTTTTGTTGATGACCAAATACCATAGATCTTGTATAGCGTGGACGTAGTCACGGTGACGTCACCCATTGGTTTGTGGACTGACATTTTGAAGCCTTGAGTTTGGCATTTTGGCCGTCACCATCTTTTTGCCTTTTTGCAACCAGAAGTGAAACGAGAGGGTGGAGCTAAGTAATAAACTCGGCGCTAAACATTTTTAGGCGACCAAAATGTTACAATTTACTTTCATGAAGTGAAAACACACTGAGAGAGGGCTAAAGTTGTCAGAGGAAGACACTGACAACTCCCAGACGTGGTAGCAGCCTGTCAATCGCAACGTACCCACGCCCCAAAGCAAACCCTGCTTTATGGTCTATTTGACTCTAAATGGACCATAATTTACTAGATGAACATCATGCTGTATTGAAGAAGACTTGAAACTAGAGATTGAGACCATAAACTCATGTTTACAATGTTTACTGAGGTAATAAATCAAGTGAGAAGTAGAGTCATTTTCTCATAGACTTCGATACAATCAGACTTCTTTTTTAGTAAGCAGAGGTGTCGCCCCCTGATGGACATTCAAAAGAATGCAGGTTTAAGTTTAAAACGCTAAACTACGATGGTTAACACTGTTAACAATATACAGTCTACACCAAAATTCAGCATGTTAGCAAGTTAACATTAGCATTTAGCTCAAAGCGCTGCTGTGCCTTAGTCCAGCCTCACAGAGCGTGGCCACTATCCACTAACTAACTCACTTTTCAGAATAACAACAGTTGTTGTAAAGCTACTGAAATTTTTCTTCTTCTTCTTCATGTCTTCTTCTAACATCACCATGCTTGGAGGTACATGGTCCAGTGGACAGCAAACAAGTGAACTAATTAAATGCCACATGACTGTACAGGACAGGACAGCTTCTCCTCGTGTTACGGTACATCTTCAGATGGTGCATTTCATACAGGGTTTGATGGTAAGAGAGCGCAGGTTATCAGGACCAATAACTCTAGAGGTTGACCCCCTTGTGAGCTGGTGTCGAGGCATGGCAGTGGTTACTGTTGTACCTACCAGGACTGGGCGGACGCTCTGGTAAAGGTGTGTGCAACATGGGACGGTCCCTCCCTGCTCTGCCCCCACCATGCATCACAGGATCTGTGTAGGGGCACGAAGATTATCGCCATCATCATCATTGTTATTATATCTTCATAATCCTTGCAGCAGTGGGATCCATATGACGTTTCCTATTCATAAACTCTAACCAAATAATCTCTCTATTCCAGTTGGTATCTTACTGGAGGATGGATTCCCTGCGGGCTCCACGTAGTTGTCATCGTTGCTGCAGTCGGGATCGATGTAGTCCTCCTGCAAAGCGACACAGTGTGAAAACGAGGTCAGCTGTCCGCACTCATCGGATGGAATTTAGCAATGCACAGGATGTGGCGAAACCCTCCAAGACACAGCAGCGTTTGTGTGAGTGTTTGTGTGAGTGTTTGTGTGAGTGTTTGTGTGAGTGTTTGTGTGAGCTAGGGGGAAGTTGCTTTACCTCATCGCTCCCCTGCTGGGTGGGTTCGGGGGGCAGCTGTTTGGAGTCTTTGCCCGGGCGGAGGGGCTTCCTGGGCGGCCGGCTGGGCCGGTTGCGGCGGTCGTCGCCTGGAAAAGGAGAAGCAGAAGCAGAAACAGGACGTCAGCATTTGCATGAAGCTCCATTCTGAAGCCCTCTGTGTATTGTGGCTTTGGCTCAGCGGTGCCACACGGAGCAATGCGACTCCAGCTGGAGGAGAGCGAACGCTGTAAAGGAGAAGCTGCTGAAGAATAGAAACTGTGTGTGAAAAGGGGTTTTCAATTTCATCATGAGGAGAGGAGTTTTGGGAGACATTTGTGGTGAAAAATAAGTGCAGATGCAAACAGCTCTTCGTGTCAGGTGACCGCTACTGACCGAGATATTCCCCCCTCGCAAAGGAAGCAGAGGGAGTCGCGGTGAAGGCTCTGTGGCTGGGAGGAGGCTCGTAGCTGTCGTCCTGGTCCTCATGTGGATCCTCATACATGTCGTTATCCTAGGGAACAACATAATTGTAATGTTCGCCAGGCAAAAACAGCACTTTGAATTACTTACAAATCACCAATTTCTCAACTCACGTAATCCGGATCAGACAGTTCATCCTCTTCCCTGTCATCTGGAAACATTTAAAGGGATTTCATTACAATGAGGGAGAAATGTAAAAGCAAATTGTGTATTTTTACTAAACCCAGCCTGCTTAACAAAAAAATAAATCAAACACCAGCAATAAATTCACCCGAGCCGGTGTCGGAGCACATTCTCTAATTTTAGAGCCAAGCCCACGGTTAAAGGAACCAGCGGAGTGCGTCTCCTCACCTCTTCAACCATTGAATAATCTCTCAACAAGTGGCATAATTGGTGCTGTTTTTTTAATGCGGTTTGAGCAGAAGCATCAAGTAATTTAGTGCAGCGTGTTTCTTGAAAATAACATCTGGAAACAGGTGCGATAATTGTTTCCTAAAGCTCACTTGCAGTGTTTTTTTTTGTCATTTTCTTTATCAGGCTGAGATGAAACAGATCTGGTAGGTTTGTTTTTTCCCAATGGAAAGAAGAACGAGATGATGTATAAGGAAAGTGCTAACTGCAAGGGTATAAATGACTGCAGGTACAGTCAAGGTAAGCAGTAACACAGCTGATTCCGGGCTGTTTTTGTGATTAGTGATTGTATTATATACTGTACATCATTACCTCCATCATTAGGGAAATAAGATTAACATCTAGGGGAAATCAACTAAGTACATCTGCTGTACTTAAATTACTTGAACATTTCAATGTTATGCTCTACTTAATACATCTACGCCACTACATGCCAAAAGGAAACATGGTACTTTTCACACATTGTTCCGACTTCGAGTTACTAGTTGTGCACGATTTAGCTTAAAAACCATTTGATCAATTTACAGAATATGATGCAAAGATGAAACTACCCAGATGTCTATAAAGGAGTTCAAATTAACTGTGGCATTGAACACAATGCATCAGTAATAATATTCCTGTAATATACGGTACACATATTAGAATATTCTACTCTGTACAATACTCTGAAAGTAGCTATTTGGCCCAACGGATGATGTTGCTTTGTGTCCTTTAACATATATTTTGTACACATGTAGTGTTGCTGATGTGCAATTATGAAAGACTGTTGGAAATCCAAACTTCTCTGCTCTCTCCATCCTTTACAAGTCCGCCTTGCTCACATGCCCATATGTCATAGGTCACTGTAATGTTTCCTCCTGTCCATAGTGGATGTTTAAAGATCCTCTTCCCGCACTAACATGATTCCACAGTACGAGACGGGGGGGGGGGGACCAAATCCACAGAGAAAAAACCATGCCAGGATCAACCCAAGTTTATGCGAGGCTGTTGTTTACTATGTTTCCAACCATGTTCCCTTGCAGAGCTGTGTGCTGCTGCGATAGGAGCAAGAAGAGTGAATTCTGTACTAAAGACTGTAACTTTGGAAGAGACACACTCAGGCGATTACAATGACTCTTTCAATGTACATATTGGCATTTGATTGCTATCACAAGACGGACTTGAACACAGGTGGATATCATCACTATTATTATGTGTTATTTTGCACCACATGTGTCAATCCTCTTGTGGAACCGGCGATAACGTCTCAGTTCTTACCTCTGTAATCTCTCGCAGGCACTTTCGGAAGCGGTTTGCTCTTCAGTCTGCCGTACAGAGAGAGAGGGAGAGAGAGACACACTGACATCAGCAGCAGGCAATGAATGACTTCACAGGGCAACGATACTCTGTCTCAGTGAAAGAGGCAACCCATTTGCATACATTGGACACCTGCGCCGTGAAAGCGGTTGGCAGGCCGCTGTGCGTCTTCAGCAGACAGGACGAGAATGAGTGGGTTCTGTCATTATGTCATCTGTCCTTTAAGGGGACTCATTTCAGGAAAGGAAATCGAAACGGCCATCTGTTTATGTTATTTTTGGCCTGTGGGTCTGTCTTTAATTCCAACGGTTGTGAAAGAGGAATTGGCATTCTCTGATGATGCGTGCATGCGCCACACAGGGACTTCTCAGAGTCTCAAAATATTAGCGTGGAGTACAAAGAGGACAGTAAAGATCTTGAGATATTAGAGACTGACCTCCTCAGCTTGTTCAGCAAGCTGCCGTCATTCTTCTTGATGTCTTGGACGATCTTCTGAAGCTGCCTGGAGAAACATGATTTGTCATTGAGAAACAAGTCCACAGGAAAAATGAATCTTGCTTTAAAAAGGGCGCTTTGGGAAGACAGCCGCAGTGTTCAGGTCAATCAGTCACTCCTCATTGTATCTTGAATTCTCTACTATGTCACTTTTCTGACAAGGTTTGTGTTCACGTTCTGATCGATGATGTTAAAAGCATTGATATTTAGCATTTAGACGAAACACAAATGACTTTTTTTTTGCCCAAGTTTGAACCCTTTTCTTGCTCGCAGAGGAAAGTTAACAGATGTTGACACCATATTGATAAAATATAAGAAGTTGTGTTTTGTTTTTTGTCCATACA